ATCAGTATAGGAGTTTATGAAAGAAAACACATTTCTGTGAGCCACTTCCTCATTAAAAATATGAACAGAAATGCAGAGTTTCAGCTGGAGATGCTTCCTTTATATAGGCTTTATTTTAACATTTTCTGGCTGGCAAGAACGAAATTGAATTGTGTCAAAGAAAGGTATATCATCACTGACGAGTGCACAGCCAGAATTCACATGCTGGACTTCTACTTCTCAGACCTCAGGGAATTGGGAGAACAGGAATATTATTACATTCAATATCCCATTAAGGCCCAGGATGGTRCAAAATGACCCACTGATATCTACAGCGAGAGATTAATTACTGAGGAAGCTTGGCTACACTGACCCTAGCAAACAGCACAGGGTAATTCGAGGGCTCTAAATCCAGCTGCTATGGCCTGACTACCATAATATTAAATCCTTCTAGTGTCCAAAACAAGGTGCTGCCTCCCAGCACCCCCAGCAATGGGTTCTGCACTGACCTGACTTCCACTAACCGCGGTTACTTTGCAACTAACTTACCTGATTGCAGTCTGCAAACTGTTAAGGGGTTGACTCCAGTGTGTCCCTCATCTCAGTCTGTCCCCATTCAAAAACACAATAAACGGACAGCAAAATTCATCATGAGCTGGGGGATACTCCAGTGTGTGGGAAGGAAGAGTTCAGGCACTGTGGCTGAGGAAGGCCAGCTTCCCTGGTTTAAGCCATTCATGGCAATACACCACAAAAACAAGTGTTTGTGAAGAATGTCAGCCTGGGGCTGGAAAAGGTAGGCTTGGTGCTTTGTGCTGTCATTGAGTTTAACTTTTATTTTCTTTCTGTTGTCATATAAGCTTTTGTCAAAGATGGTTGCATAGGATGGGTTCTTTCATAGTGTATTAATRTCACCCATCTAAGGCAAGGCCTCCAGTTGCTCAAGACTTTGATCCTGCAAGTCTTTCTCATGTGTGAAACAAAAAGCAAGAGGCTATTGCATTCAGGGATTAGGATAAGCAYGTGCAGGAACAATGTAGGGGAAGGAGAAGTCTTCTCATCTCCCTTCTCAAGATCATTCTCAACAATAAACTCAAGCTCAAAGCCAGAGAGCTCAAGGTAGAAATAGATCTAGGTGAAGCAGATGCAGGCTGGATTAATCTGGCATGTGATGAGTGTGATGAGGTTGTCATAGGGATATGTTGAGGAGACAGCTACCTCATCTCTTTGAGATGCACCCAACCAAATACAGACTATTAGAATTGACGTGTTTATAAGTCTTCTCACCTAGGCTTGCTTTGGAGTCAATGGGCTTTGAAGTCAAGGAAACTTTACGTGCTCTAGGTGTCTCTGCTTGAGCAGGAGGTTTGGACTAGATGATATCTAGAGATCCCTTCCAACCTCAGCCGTTCTGTGATTCTAAGGTGCTGGTTGGGGCTGGTACAACCCATCCACATCCTGTCAAGCAAACTGCGTCGTGCAAGTGCTGATTTCTCCCCACTGATTCTAAAAGGAGCACAGGGTAGCCATCTCAGATGTGAAGGTCTACACTACAGACACCCACAATCAGAGGAGGCCATATCTTCTTTGGCTACTGACTGCAGGAAAAATTCAACCTGCAGTCCCTGCTCTGAGCCTTGCATATGCAGAGGACTTGTTGGATCAATCCCAAAGCTTTATGTAACATGTCTGTGATGTGTATTTATATGAATCATATACATTAACACATAATAGACACTCATGCTCCCCATCGCACATGCAGTTTGGTTATGCACAGGGCACAAAGACTGTGAGCACAGTCACTATGAATCACTACATTCCTGAGGCAAAACTCTTTCTAAAATGACCATGTTCATATATTCCCATGGTTTCCACTACAATATTATTTAATTAAGAATATTAATCTGCTAGGCCACCAACTTTCACTGCCTTTTCTGGAACTCTCAGCAGACAGGTATTTTAATAAAATATAGGGAATGATTTTAACGAATCCAGCTCTTTTTATGACAGAGCTGGTGCAATCAGGTAAGTTAGTTGCATGGCCTCTTGAACCTTTATCTATCCAATCTTGATATGAACATGAGATTTATGCACCAGAGAGGTCACCAGTGCAAAAGCTGCATGAGTTTTGCTCGCTGGTCTTTGTTTTGTTTGTTTTTCAGCTATTCTTACTGAGTACTGCCCAAATAATCATGAACTATTATCAATGACTTGTATGGCATTGAAATACAGGGCTAGTCCGCATCTGGAGAATACAAGACCAAGACTTGGAAGTCTAAAACCTACCTAGCTGTGGGCACTCGTTTGCACGTGTTTAAAACATGCATGCAAACATTGCAGATGTGCAAAGAAATCAAGTATGTGTCTCGACACCAACGCGACCAGTTCGGCTGCATTACCCCAGCCTGCCAAAATAAGTCCTCAGGGCTGCTCTTTTCCCCTCACAAATGGGCTGGGGCATTAACTACCCCRACACCTTCTTCCTGCAGCCAATGGACATGTTCCTGGTCACAAAACTATCACCACAAACTGCTCTTGCTAACAGTGTGACCAGGAAGCACTACTTGGAAGGACACAGTACATTATTAGTTGACACGTTCCAAACTGCAAGTGCTACTTAACCAGYGGTTAAGGCAAAGCCATGGAGGCCTGCAGAACGGCTGGGTGACACAAGGATGGGGCAGGTAGGAAGCTCTGGGCCTTCAGGGGTGACACGTGAGGCCTCAGGGTTACTCACTGCTCCTCCTGCATGATGTTAAGCAACAGGCAGTAAATATGGAATTCATTAAAATTACCTTGTATATTTTTAACAGCCTTGATAATCAGATTTCTGCCACTGTATTGAGAAGCAAAGTTTGTTTTTATTCAAGACCTTGTAAAACTCTAATTTCTCCCTTATGCTCTGGGGGTGTCTGAAGTTTTCTATTGCTCTTAATAGTCATTTTTAACTCCCTTCGAAATTCTGTTCTCTTCTGAAAGATATATCAACCACGTGAATGGAGGTCTGGTTTTGTCAGTGCGAGGGATAAACTGGTTGCTGCAATGGGCAGCTTTAAACTTGCACTTCTTTCCATGCATTACATGCTTGGGGGACAGATCCTGCTCTTGCTCACTGTGGTGCTGCAATGAATTTTTCTACCGGGTGGRAAACATTGAGAAGATCCATGGAGTTTCCAGTGGGAGCTACAGTGAAGCTTCTTGCTGCCTTAGAGCCAGAGACCATCTCCAACCTCCAAAGTCCGTTGCTGTAACCCCGAATGTCCACAAAATCTGCAGACAATCTCTGGCACTGGGGAAGATCACAGCTTGCTTTTCTAACCTGGAAGCTAACCTGAGGCCAGCCACCTGTGTTGGGAAAAGGTGAGAACACCTTGGGGGCACGGGCTGACCCCCCAAAAGGCGAAGGGCAAGGAAAGTAAGGCCAGCCTACAGTAGAGCACAAGTGAAAAGTTCAGTATACGGCCACATAATGCACAGAGCTCGCTCTTCCAGTCACGCTGCCTGTGCCCACATGCGAGGCGCTCACGTCTGACTGCACCCAGACAAGCGAGGGCTGCAGGGCAAGCAAGCTGCTGTACAGCTGCTGTGGTCCCAGCCGAGCCTTCCCTGCAGGTATCGCTGGGGGCCAAATTGCAAAAATAACCGATTCGACAACACGGCCCGCCAGGAGACTCCAGCTCAGAGGGAACCTGTTTCAGGCCAAACAAAGCGCTTGCACCGAATCGAGCCCAGCTTGTTCTGTTTGAACCGAGTCAGCATCGCACAGGGCGCCCACAGGAACCTGCTCCACTGCCCTGCAACCTGTGGCCCGCACGGGTACGTTGGGCCGCTCTGAAAAGCGCAGGGACCGCAGAGGGCTTTGCAGCTGCTTGCTTGCAAAACGAAGCTTCCCCGCTCCAAGATGAAAGAAATTAGGAGTCTACGCTAACCAAATCCTACACGCCTGTTGGCCGGGGTTCAGCTTGTCAGCGATGCAGCTCAGTGGAGTGATCAACGTTTGCAGAGCTTGGTGGAAGGGGAAAACAAGGCAGCGAGCAATTCACCTGGCTGGGAGTCAAACAGGTGCACGGCAGCAGGATCCCAGATTATAATAATATCTTGCAAACATGGAAAAAATAGATGTAATAAGACTGATTCTTTGGTTTTTATTAATGAATCATAAAGGCTTGCTTTACATTACATATGCTTCTTGGCATACGTTGCTACTATTCCCACACTTGTGAGGTTGGAGTTTAATAGCGAGACACCCTCCCCTAAGGTTCCTCCTTTTTGGCAAGATGCACAGGGTGACTGTGTGCCATGACAGGCTCTATCTTACTGTGGGGCAATCAGATTACTTTGCACAGCTGGTTTTATCACTGGGACCATTAGAGATGAATTGCACAGTATGCAAATATACTTTGGCTTGATAAAAAAAAAAAAGTCTCAGCTTCTAGCTGCTGTCTTGTCTAGGTTCCTAAATGTATTTCGTCACTCCTGTATCACTCCAAAGCCCAATTTGTCCAATCTTTACCCTAAAGTGACTCAACTAGTTTCTGATAGGYATCTTAAAGACACAGGCTTAAAGACAAAGGAAACAGGCTTTCTGGAACTACTGGGTTGAAATGAGAGAGAAGGAATCATAGTCGGAATTATTCAAGGCAACTATCTGTCAGGATGTCCAATATCGCACACAACACAAAAGCAAAACATTTGAAGAGAATCACCCAAAATCAAGGATCACAATTAGTTCAAAACATGCAAACGCCCTCTTGTAGGGGAAAAAAAGAGAACTTGAGCACAGAACCAGGTTCCCGACAGAGGAAAAAAAAAAAAAAAGAGGAAAAATTAACTGATCTGAAAGGGACCTAGAGACATTCAAGGGGATCAACACACGGCAGCTCTTCAGAAAGGAAGAGGCTTGGCCCCCACCCGTGGGGTCGGAACCCGGCTATCCTGGAGCGCTGCTCGCTCTGCTGCCACCGTGKCCACCGGCCTAGGGCCACCCCGCACAACTGCTGTAGGTGAAACGTGGTCTTTACCTGAGAGGCGTCTGGGCACATCGGTGATGGCAGGCAGTCCCGTGCCTCGGGTGGAGGACAGGGGAGTTGTGGAATGAATGGACGGTGAAGTCATCTGGCTCAGGTAGGATGGGTAAGACTGGTCGTASGACCATGGAGGGGATGACTGTGCCTGCCTGGGGTCTAGGGAAACAAAAACAAAAACGAGAGAGAGTTAAAACAAAAGGGCAGGCAACGTTTAGGGAGCCAATAGCCTAACGAAAAGAAGGGAGTTTSCTGCACACACGCACACCAGTGCTACCAGTGCTATGAGGAACCATGACCTGCTCCATGCGGGCCCGTGCTCCTTGTGCTGCGGCAGCATCTCGGGGCGGCACGAACAGAGCGGGTCCAAGTGCCCAGCAGTGAGCAGTGCTTAGAAAGGCCCCGCAGCCGCTCTGCAAAGCCCTGGTGCCCCTYGTCCAGGTCTAACGGAGCGTTAGACGGCGAGGTTGGGGTTGGGGTGCTCAGCAGAGAGCAGAGGGGACGCCCGGACAYGCTGCCGCCGCGCGCAGGAGCGGGCTGGAGAGGTGGGGAGGCTCTGAAGTTAGTACTTGGCACGTCTGTCAAGCCATAATCCAGTTAAAACATTACACAGAAGTGTTTTCAGCACTGAACTGGCTGTCCAAGGAGGAAAATGGCATTAATCTTAGTAGCATCTGGCCAAAAATGTCCCCTTTGGGTACTGGTCCAATTACCTACAGTCACCTTAATTAGAACAACATGAAACCAAATGAGTTGGGGCAAGGACTGGCAGCTAAAGATGCCTTTAGACGGACTTTCTTATTATGGAGGAAATGATTTTAAGGATAAATACAGCTCATGTTTTTGCTGAAGCTCTGGTGGATTGAGCTGAGTGAGAAGTAGGAAGGGTTGGCTTTAGCCACTGCTTTGGGGATTTGCAACTCATTTGCTCTCAGTTCATGCCTAGTGATAAAATGACCCCTGATTTCCTCATAAATTACTATTTTTCGTTTCTGATGAAAACAGTTTCAACCGTCAACCAAAAGTTTGGTCTGGACCCCACAGGAGAACAGAAAACTGTCCCTGAAGTGGCTGACAGAAACCGTCGCGCTCTCCTCCAGGTTCTCCCTGATATTTCCAGTGAAGCACATCAGGTTCTCCCCGTCTGGGGAACCTGCTATATTTGAGCAGTGTCTTAAGGCCCTGCTTTGTAGACAGAAATGTGATAGCCACATGGCATAAGCAAAGGCATTTTTTTTTTCCCAGGAAATTCATCTTTTTTTYCCCCCTTTTTTAAACTCCTTTCTCTGCTCTTCCACACAGCAAAACCTTGTAGTTTCAGCTATTTCTTGTTTATTTTTTCTGTTCAGACATGATTTGTTTGAAGAGATGTCTGGAAAGCAGATACTTCCTCATAGCAAAATAACCATATAGATAAAAGAAAAAAAAATCCAATTTAATTTTAAGAGGATTTTCCCTGAGTTTGCCATTTATATTAGAGCTGAGTAATATAAATGGTTAACATAAATGCTACTCAGAAATCCAAGGGACACTTGATCATTAAATGTAATGAACTTCTTTGTTTTAACAATTTCAAGGCTATGGTTGTATAGCTTGGCGCAGGTTCAAATTTGACTGACTGCTCGTTGTTATATCTGATATCGACATATTTCTCTGCCTCATTCCACTACTATAATTCACCATTCAGTCAATGGTAAATGATCTTCAACTGGGAACGGAAAGCCTAGGTTTGCTGGGAAAACAATCTTAAAATTAATGATGTGTCAGGAACAGAATCTCAAATCCAAGCTCCTTCAAACTCCAAGAGGTTTTCAATCTCTGTTTCTAAGTCCAAATGAGACTCCATTAAATTTTTGATATTAGGTCAGCTCCAATGCTTGAAGGAAATTATATAGCAGGTAAAGGCAGACAAAAAAAAAAATCATTGGAGAAGGTGTTTTCAAAGAATTTTGGTTTAAGATGGTGAAAGCCTGACGATAGGAACTGCCTTCTGGAGGTTCATGCTGCATCTCAGAGTGCCACCCTCATGGAAGAAAAGAAAGATCCTGAGTGTTTCTGGCACTCTCACCACTTTGAACACCCAAGCTACATTTGCTTTTACATCTAGCACCCTTAATTTCACAAGTGTACATGCTTGGGTGGGGGGCACAAGACGAATGCACTGCAAAAAGTGACCACGCTCATGCAGTCTTCCAGAGTAATAAATAATCTCATATATAATGAACAATCTCATTTTGCCCCGTTTGAGGTGGGATAGGAGGCTGAATGCACCATGAGTCTGACCCAGAAGCATTTCTTACATCCTCAGAAAACTTAGCTTAAATATACACAGAAGCTCTGTTGCTCATCCCAACTTCTCTGTCACATTACCAGATCTCTTTCTTTTCCTTTTTCTCCTTTCTTTTTATTTTTAAGTCTGGGTTCATTTCTTGATGAGAGCCAAACCGTGAGTTTGCAAACTGCCAAGTACTTTTGAGAAAAACTGAAGGTGGTGAAGACGCTATATTGCAAATATATTTTCCTCCTGAATTTCACCGGATCTTTGAGTAAATGCCCTGAAAAAAGCGTCTACTGACGACCCAAAAGGTTTGGGTAGGAGGGAGCATCAGGACGTGTGTGGGGAACGCCTGCTCGCCTGTCTCCCTGCTTTTAGAGGTGCTGTGGGAGCACGCACCAGGGACGGAGAAACTAGGAGCAGCTCTGCGAGCCGCTTTCCTTGGCCTCCTGTCCAAGAAGCACATTTCCTCACTAGCTCTGCCCAGAGGGCTCGTGAGCACTGCCAGGTTATCGGGCAGCTCCTGGGGCTCTGGGGGCCGGAAACTTTTGCTCTGTCACATGCGGCATCATGTGCTCTGGCAGGCACAGCCCGTCTCTGCGAGGGCTAGAAGCCCACAACGTATGAGAAATCCCAGAGCGCTGAGGCAGAGCGAACAKGAATTCCTGCCTAAAGGAATCCCTAGAAAACAAGGGTGGAAAAAAAATAGAAACGAATGAAAAAGTGCACAGAGCGGGCTTGGGCAAAAGCTGCCCACTTGCTTGCTCAGACAGCAAGGCTGGAGCCCTGCAGAAGGGCCAAGAAGGCAGAGATCTGAATTTCTGCCCTCAAAAGATCTCGAGTGATTTTGCGTAGCCGTCCTCCTTTTATAAATATTTTTGCTATGCCRGTGTGGGTGTGCAGAAACGCGCTGCCTTTCCTAACACGGGGCACGAGTGGCCAAAACGAGCCCGTGGGACACAAACGTCGCTGCTTCCTGCTCGAGCTGCCAGGTAAACCTCTCTGGAATGGGAAATACCAAGAGCTTGCAGATTGTTTTGTCTCTGGATATTCTCAGTTTGAGCTGCTTGTTGCCTGCAGTYGCCTGCATACGTCTTCAGAGACAAWACGACTCTTTAAGAACCAGTCTGAGATTGCATGGGCTGCAGACAATGTGAAATGAAAGGGCTAACAACCCCCGCAGTGACCCACTTCTCCCATCACCTGCACTGCGTTTCCAGCAGGACATCTTCACTTCCTTCAATGGAAATGTTCAAAACTGTCGAAAGAGTGAAGAAAAAGGCCTTAAACAGCCCTGAGGACCTAGGTTTTCTATTGCTTTGGGAATAGAATTGCAAAGCTTTGCTACAGAAAAAAAAAATATATCCTTATCCCATTTCCTAAGCTGAAACAGCGCCTGAGAGCGTGTCGCAGCTCGGTGCCGCGCGGCGGATTGAGCCTGGGCACCGCGTGCGTGCCCATGCTTCACAGAAACACCCGCACTTGGAGCCAGCCATCAGCTCCAGTTCAGTCAGCTGCTGCCTGTACGAGGACTGCCGCTGATACTACAAAAACAAGCTGTCTGGAGCTATCTTTGGAAAACACCAAAAGCAAAAGAGACGCAGTTATGCGCCTAACAAGGCCAAGATGACTTTCTGCGTGAGTAAACGCGCCGTTGTCGTAACCCCCCCGTCCACACCCAGCAAAACAACAACAACCAAAACGCAGCCTCCTTCTCCTTTCTGGCTGTTTCTTCGGCCCAGTGAAAAGCCTCGGGCTTGCTCTGCATTGCCTGGCTCCATCAGCAAAGCTGAATCCAGCGGAGTTACACCCTGGCAGATGCTGGCATAATTGGGACCAGATTTTGGCCTTAAGAGCCTCTAAAAATGTTCCTCCTCCCACCCCCAGCCCCAAGAGTCACATTTCTAAAGGGAAAAAATATTCTTTTTTTAAAAAAGTAGATTGTAAAGAGAAGGAAAATAAATTGGAAAAAAAAATTAAAAGAATAGGGACAGAAGCTTTGCCAGACAGGGGTTGGCAGAGGCACCTTGCCAGTAGCCTGGAGGACGCAATCAATCTGTCCAAAGCCCAGGGCCCAACTTGCCGCAGGCACCTGGGCCACCCATGCCCTGGGCCACCTCTCCAGGGCGTTCTCCAGGCCAGCGCCTGCTCTGGCCGCCCACCTTGGAGCGCAGTGCTGGCCTTGGACAGTGCCACGGTGTGGTGCGAGTGCTGGGGAGGTCCTCAGCACCTGGCAGGCCTCACGGGCGCCCTGTGGTGTCTGCTTCAAACCTGGAGGGCGGCCGATGGTCTTGGAGAACATCAGTCGGCCTGTATGGACTTTCTTAAACTACTGGTGTTGGCTTTAAGTTACCTGGGAATTTTCAATTAGGGTTAATCATCCTCTGAGAATGACTCCTCAGAGGCTACTGTGTTTGGTGTCTGTGCGAACCCCAAACCTCCCACTGGCTSTGGTGCCTGAGGCAGCTGCTTCGCAGCTCCACGCTGAGCACCACGACARTGCTGTGGTGAGAGCGGGCCCTCCTCCAGCCTACGCAGAAGGGAAAAAGTGTCCCCGAAGTATTGAAAGAACAAATTAAGGAGGACCTGTGTCACTGGATCCTCCATGCCAAGGGCCGAAGCCGCTTCCTGCCCTCAGTTTTGCCCTGAAGAACCATCTCTGTGGGATGGTTGAGGGGATCCTGTGACTAGTCCTAGGATAAATCAACTCCGAATCCCTTCCACTGCTTTCTACCTCAAAGCAAGAAGAAATGGGAAAGGGAAGCTGAACGTTGCCAATRCACATGGAAGAGGGTAGCAGGTAAGAGTGGGAAATAAAAAAGCAAACAAAAAAGCCCCAACTTGCACAGGACCCACTTTCAAGGGCTGCTACTGCAGTCACCCAGCTCGCCAACAGATCAGGCAGTGCCAGGGAGCCTGAAACCTCAGTGAACTCCCACCTGACAGCCCGGAGCGCAGCCGCTCACGCCGACCGCGCTCCTGCCTGGATCCCTGCGCCTCTTCCCAGCGGATACGCGCCCGTCCTCGCCCGGCTGCACTTTGGGAAAGCAAGGGCTTCCCTCGTTTCCTACRGAGCAGCCCATACAGTAACTCAATGTCTGACCGGGGAGGTAATTCGAAACGGGAGCGAGTTGTTTGAGCTCCATTAGGGAAGGAAATTAGGGAAGGGAAAAGAAGAAAAAAGAAAAAAGAAAAAAAAAAAGAAAAAGAAAAAGGGCAAATATAGCAGTATCCAAATGTGAGCAGACAGGATTCTTGATTTATGGGCAGCAAGCAGGTTTCAAATTGAATCTGTATTGCCTCAGCAAAGGCATCTGCTTATTGGGCGATTTGTTTTTTAATGACCCTTCAGTGTTGCTTTGGCAGAATCCTAGTTAAAATGCCATGTCGAATAAGGGCAACCCTGTGCCTCGCACTGCCACAGCCTGGGCTTGTGGCAGTTTAGGGCTGCGCTGTGATTTGTAAAATCTGTATTCTGATACCCTAGGAAAATAAACAGTCCAGACACAGAAAAGAMATGCAAGAGTGAACCCCAAAGTGCTGAGTTCTTTCATACTCAGGTGTGGGCTAGCCAGGTTTTAAATATTATTTTGGTTTAATCATGCAGTAACTATGCAACACCTCAAGTGGAACGAAACAAAAACAGTTTACGTGCTTACCAGTAATAATATGGATTTTGTCATAGGAAACCAGTATTTACTGTTCAGGCTGTTAGGAATTAATTAGTTTCCCTAAGTTACTAGGCAAAATGATTAAGAAGCAGAGGTATGTCCAGAAGAAYTGCTTCGTTCCAGCAAAGGTAATAACAAAGCCTTTGTTTTTTGGACAAGGGTCTATACCCGCTGTGGGACTACCCAGACCACCAGAGCACCAAGCAGGCAGTCCCTGCTGAGCACTGCACTGCACTAAGGCAGCTGTGGAGATGGCAGCACCTGCACCCAACAGGCCCACATTTGCAGTTCCYCAGCGTCACCCACACCTGCTCTCCCTTGGGCACAGGGAGCACACTGGGTCCTGTCTGCAAAGGCATCTGCGTTTTGGGGAGCAGCAAAGTGCGTGGCAGCTTTTGCAGGTTAGGATGGACAGAAGGAGCCCGCAGTGCTCTGGGGGAAACGGGAGCACCTTGGGATCCCAAAGTGTCCCGTGCCTACGAGTCTATCTGGCAGGGCAAGCAGATAGTCCAGGAGAGCGTGGAAAGCCAGCCCCGTTTTCTYGGTTCCACTCGCTTCCCTCTGCCCCCCAGTGCCACCTCTTCCCTCTCTCAGCGAAGCCCCGGCAGGTGCTGGGCTCCCAGCGTCCGACCGCTGGCTCTGAAAACTGTGGAACAGCCAGCAAACACCACRTGGTTTTGTCTGCACTCGGGCTTATTTAAACCTCATCTGAAGTTTGCACCTCCTGGATCCGTGAAGGCTGCCGCTGATACGTAATGAGGCAGCCAAGTACCCTATTAATCAAGCCCAGCAGAACATTTGCCAYGGGAAGCATTTAGGGGAATGAGAACAGCATATGAAGTTACACTGAGCTGGGAAGAAAATTACAAGGGGATCTTAGTTCTCGTGCTTTARGGCATAAGCTGATCACCAGATGGGAGCAGGAAAAAAAACACCCTCCTTCACTCCTAGATATAGTGTTGCATGACAGGTAAACTATGGAGGTACAAGCAGAGGAGCTGATTATAGCCTCATGTTTTCCCTCCCTTCTCCCYTGCTTTCCTGGGAACCATCATGTCCCAAATCACTGTGTGACACAGGAAAACAGCTTAAAATAAAAGAGTTTTAGTATGGCAGTTCCACACAGATGATGATGAGCACTAGAGTCCTGACTTCACATGTCCAACTGACAAAACATTAATCCTGGCCAAAAATCCTGCTCTGGGAAGCTGGTGGGTAGCAGGTACCATGTAATGAATAATATCAACATGTGTCATATATTTAAAATACTTTACACTAGCTAAAGCTCAACTTCTTGCTCTAGAACTTTGCCACAGCTCATAAGAACAATTTTTTGTTTCAATTCTCTGACTGCTTTGGGTTCAGATTAACCCACTTACTCCTCTTCCTTACTACAAATTAATAAACCAGTTGAACTTTAAAAAGAAGAAAAAGAAAGAAGAAGAAAGCCACAACACTTTGTTAAAACCACTAAGTTTCAGCTGGTATCATGTCAAAACCACTTGAAACATGAAACCAGAAATCTTCCTAGGCTGACTCAAAGACTATGTCTGTACTAGGAGTGCGTTACCAGTACAGGAATACTGGTATATTGCCTTGGCAAACAACTCCTAGTGTACATGCAGGTATAGCAGTAAAACTGAGTTTAAAACAGCTCAGGTAAATCGACCCAAGAGTTTTGYTGGCAGACCCGCATCTACGTTAAGTTCTCCAACAGTTCTAGCAACTGAACTGGTCAGGTGCAAGACTTCTTCACATCCTGGACAGACACAAAAAGCATCAGCACAAGTTTCTAGTGTAGAAATAGCCAAAATAAGCTACATTTTTTTGAAGTTCTTCTAAAAAGAAAAAAAAATAGAGCCAATCTGCTAAAGCTCTGCATTTATAAAAACAACAGAATCAGTTTATTTTGTAGGGTTGACAGTTTTGTTGCAAACTTCTGGCATGACTGCAGATAAACATCCTATTTCAGTCTTGCAATTTGTGACACGTGGCATTTTGTGTTCCTTCTCACCACTATCAGATCTGTCTCTGAGCATGCAATCATAAATGTTGCATACAGTCCTTGGCRAGTAACTTTTGGGGATTTCTATGGAATCCAGTTCCTTTATTGTAACAGTGATCAGCACTGGTGCTAGAAGGAAATTGCCACAGGAGAAAATACYAGAATCCTGCTAGAACTTTCATTGCATGTTGCCTGTTTTCCTCACCACCCGTGTGTAGTAAGTGAATAAAAACATTCAGTCTAATATACACTAACAAATACTATTGCACATACAGAGGTAAATGCAGAACGACAATTAGAATTTCACCAGATTCCTCTTTGATTTATCTGGATTGACTATTTTGGACATTTGACAGAAAGTAACTTTGAAAAAGAACAACATTTTCAGCTTCAAATGCTGCATAAAAATCCACTCCCCTCCTAGCTTTGCTTGGAACACGTCTCTCACTCTGTAACAGCCTCTTTTTACTACAGTTGAGACACAAATATCCATAAGCAATTACTACCGTTGCCTGTGCAAGTCGAACCTATGATTCTGTCTCTTACCTGTAATCTGACTCTGTCCTTGTGGATTAAAAGGACTTGGTGCAGAGTTCAGAGAGGGCCGTGGGCTCTGGGTCGGGACCCCTACTCTCATACTGGGATGAGGAATGCGCCCTAAATCACTGAGGCGTTCAGAGAACAAACTAGGTTTAGAGTCATCAAGCTTCTGTCTGTGCCCTGGAAACAGCAAATCATAAAATAAAAGCATTAATAACAAGGTTTAATAATTTACCATACAAAAAAAAAAGAGAAAAAAAAAAGAAGAAAAAAAGACAAAATGGTCTCTAAGGACTATTATGAGATTAATGGACTTTATAGGTATCTCAGTTGTCCACTGGTAGCATAGTGACATTGGTGTGGGGACTTGTGTTTTGGACATGGTTGTGCTGGTGAAAACCATATTGAGTACAGCTGTGCCTGCAGAGATGTGTATCATTATAATTTGGATCAAAATAAGCACTCATGAGGGCACCCATGCAAGGTCTTTTCTTTCTCTTTTTTTTTTTTTTTTTTTTTTTTTTCCTGCTTTAACTGCACTGGATAGGTAAAGGAGCAACATTTTCTTCCATCTGCATGTGAGGAAGAACTTCTTCACTGTGAGGGTGACAGAGCCCTGGAACAGGCTGCCCAGGGAGGCAGTGGAGTCTCCTTCTCTGGAGATCTTCCAAACCCACCTGGATGTGACCCTGTGCCACGTGCTCTGGGTGTTCCTAGGGGGGCTGGAGAAGATCATCTCTAGAGGTCCCTTCCAACCTCAACCATTCTGTGATTCTGTGCAAACTAAGCCTCAGATATTAGCCTTAGATATTAATATACTCATGAAGTATGTGTTACCAAGTGGGACAATAATTCCATGCCTGCTGTATGTGTTGTGGACATTCTTCCTAAGAAAATGCATGCTTTTTTTTGTTTTGTTTTGCATTTCCTTCTGTCACAGCTAGCTCTAAGCTTTCACTCCTCTCCAACTTGAGAGCTTTTCCAAAAAGTTAATAGTTGCCTTCCTTAAAGAAGTGTGATATATAGCAGGGAAAGCCATCAAAGCTGCTGGCCAAGACTAGGCCCTTGCTTTGCCCTTCTCCTTTGTCACCTTCCTCAACATCCCTGTGTTGCCCCAGCAGCAGCTGCCTGTGCCCTGGCTGCACAACCACATCTGAGAAAAGTTGTGGGTGCTCAGCTGTCAAAATGGAATGGAGAAAAAAAAGGCAAAAGCACCGGATGGCCCATCCAGCAGGTTGGTTCCTGCTGTCATTCAGATGTCTCAGAATAAAAATTTTTCTCTCTGTCTCAATGTGTTTTTACTCCTAGGTTTAACTCCTTCTGAAGGGGCTCAAAGGATGCTCCTCACCCAAAGGCACCTTTGCATGTGAGGCAGTGAAGGCGTTGTTGATGCATTCAACATATGGAGAAACAAGCACACAGAGAGACTAAGGTCAGGACTGATTTTACCTAACTTTAGCCATTCATAAATCAGGCTTCTAGTCTAAACTCCTCTAATGTAGACTTCCTCTACAGTTAATGGAAAGAAATAGTTGCTTCCAGAGGGTAATTCATCTCATTTGTCTCTGACACCGGTCTTAAAATGGGATGACTCACCTTCTGAATTTGCTTTTTCTTCCTTCTCTGGTCAGAGAGGGAGCTCACAAGACTAGTTTAATGAGATGCCCTCTCCATGAGTTATTATTACAAGCAATGAACCTTTCCCTGAGCTACCAGCTACACTCACACAAAGAACCTGGAACAGAGGTGACATGGGAGCCCAGGCTCATGGATGACAACCCAGAAATAGAGGCTGCTTCCATCCCAGAGCACAGGCACAAGCACTGCAACGTGSTGGTATATATTTTATGCTTTTAGCATGTAAGGAGGGTCCCCCATATGGTTTGGCCTGAGATCAGCTTGAACCCTTCCAGGTGATCCCCAGTGATTTGAGATAAATCACATTCTTAGTCAGCAGTCTGAGGGCAGCCATCTCCTTGAGGGCTAAGGGAGTTGAGCTTTGTAGGCATGGTCAGATTGCCCCTAATTCATTTTAAGAATCCAAATTCTGTGACTGTTTCATTTATTCTGACAGAATAAAGGTGGCCACTGAGTCTTGAGATCTGACCACAGAACCATCACATGGAACCATGCACCATTAAATGCATTTTAATGGTGTCTATCACCACAATAGGTACAAGGGTCCCCATTTCCTAGCTGAGCCTAAGTTGCCTGAATGTGATGGTAGACAAAGCAGTTTCACTTGAACATGAGGACTAAGTACAGCTAATTCACAACTGGACTGAGAGAAGCCATGGCCCTGGATAGAAAACTGAAGGATTCAGGCTGAGAGACGGGATGAAACTGGATGGAATTTAATATTGGAGAAACTTCTCTAGCAATTTAAGAGAATTAATTARTTGACCCATTATTCTGTACTTTGAAGTAAGATTTTTCTCCCCCAGGATGACTCAATATAAAAACATGTGGTAGGCGGGAGCTTTCATTAAAGAGAAGGTGGTGCCATGTACCAGGGCTCCACAAAAATATCAGCTGCTGCACTCCTCAGAAGGTATCAATCAGTTTAAATGGGGAATGATTTTTGGTGGGCTTGTAACAACACTCTAATGGCACCTTAATTAACAGGATAACATCTACTCCTCAGCATTATCTTTGCAATCTATGTAAATTACTACCTGTACAAGTTGGGTGCTGTTAAACCTAAAAAAACAGCTTTCACCCAAACACATAAACACATGGGTGCAGAACTGTCTTGGGATTTCTCCTTCCCCATCTTTTATTTTTCCCCTGCATTTTTTCTGTATTTGCTTTTGCCGTTGTCAACTGCATTTTCTGCTGTTTTCTGGGTAAATTCCCCCCCTTCCCTCTTCTCTTTTAYTCACAGCCATTCCTAATCGCAATATATCATCTGCTCTCAGCAAGYTCAGGAGGGCTCAAGAGCAGGTGAAGCTCACACATCAAGCCTAACTTTACCTGGAAAAGATTCTACGTTGAATTTTCACACAAAAAAAACCTGCCCTAGGTTTGCACGACACCCTTTTGCAGAAGCATCACAACCTCCTTCACTAACAAACCAGTGCACAAGCTATTTTAACTGCGTCTCCCAGCTCAGTGAATGCTCTTTATATAGGTCATTGCTCCTGCATCAACCTGTGCTGATAACCCCTGGCTCTGTTTACATCGGGTTTTATTGGCCTATGGGCCAATAAAAAAAGGAAGCTCCATAGCTTTTCCTGACTGGAGGTTATATTTAACTATGTGCCTTACTTCTACTTAGCTAGATCTACTCCAGCAAGACAACTAGYGGCTGTTGAGGACAGCGGAGCTCTTCGATCTAAGCAGGGAAGTGAAGAAAGAAGAAAGGTTCCCACATCTGAACAGATATAATGTGGAGATGTGGGGGTTTGATCCCATCCACTCCCCCCACCCACTTAAAAAAAAAACCCAAAAATATCCAGACTTCCAGAACATCTGGAAGGCCCCAGGCATCAATGAAGCTGCAAGGGGCCAAAGACAGGCTTGTCCTTCTCTTACGGCCACTTAACATTTGAGGCTGCAACGCAAAGCCTGGTTGTGACAAAGCAATCCAGAGACAGAAGCCCCGTTTCCCCAGTGAAAATGGCCCATGTTGAATGCTGGTGAGAAACGAGACAAAAGCTTCACGTTCAGGAAGGGCTCATGAGGAAGTGCAAGCACCTTAGGGACCTCTCTTGCCCCGATGCCTGTGCAAAAATCCTCTTAACGGCCAGCAGCAGCCAAGGAGTATATGCCAAAACCCTCTAAAAAGGTTTTCCGAGCAGCACATAAGCAGAAGCAATGAAATATGTGCTACATGTTTAAAATTCATTCTGCAAGCTGCTTTTCATCTCAGCGTTGATGTATGTGTCCGTTGACAGCGAAATTCCTGATCCCAGGGGAGGATGCAGAGAAAAGCTGTGTTCCTCGGTCTTCGTCGTGAGGCATAATTTTATTTCAGGAAAAAGCATTTGGGAAATAGTGTGGATAGCTCCGTGTGGATCGGTGAGCTGCTGCAGCAGCAATCACATTAAATAGTAGCATGAARCTATATGAAGAATAGGATAATGTTGGAGCTATCCCAGTAGCAGTACTTAGGGTTGTAGGCCAGTCCTACAAGCAACACTGCATTTTAGTGCTGCATTTAGTGCCAGTTATTTCATTACAAGGAAGATTTTGCACAGTGGGAGAGAGGACAAAATACTTCTGGTTGCAGGCAGTCTCTGCTATAGAAACTTTTTTTTTTAAATAAAATTAGAAAGACTGGCATTTTTACAAAATGCACTGAGCAATGATGGGACCAAGAGACCATTGAAATGTAGCAGGTCACAGGCAAGGATATAGCAAAGACAAGAAAATAGTCAAGAATTGATAGACAAAAGCTATACAAGTGGTTCTAATTTGTCTATTGTCATAGTTTAAGCATGTTAGAATAAAAGAAATCTGTGAATCGCACCAAAATGACAGCAAGTAGCAGTCTGGTCTCTCACCACACTACTCTGCTATTCTGAACCAAGCACCAAACTGGGTATTGCCATTTCTGGTGACCAAAAAGCACCTCCATTAATCCACTGCAGCACCAGTTTTGACCGTTTTGCATGAAATTAGTAGTGACAGAGAGGATCAGAGGCTGCCCAGGCTGCAGCCAGGCAGACAAGTGACGGCGCTGCTGCTTGAGCACTCTGACATGGGACGGCCTCGCGGGGGTTAAAATCACACATGTAACCTATTGTTAAATTATCACATTCCAGCCGTGGCAGAAGATGTAAGGAGGCTTCAGCCTCCAGATTAATCATTCCGGTCTAAGCTAAATGGAGGAATGTCTTCAGATCAAAGCCACGCGATTTCGCGTCTGCTGGATGTGGTAACTGGAAAGGGCCGTGAGCCTGGCTCTCCTCGCGGCAAATCGGGCCCCGACGAGGCTGCCTTGCAGCGTGGAAATGTGGAGCTGAGGCTTCCAGATTCGTTCTACCTCCTCGGGGAGGAGGGGCCTCGTGTTTTTATCTTGCAGCTTGTGGGTGTGGAACTGAAAACTCATCAGATCGTGCTACACGTGGCCGCCCCAGATGCTGACATGCAGGGACTCCCTCTCTTTGTACCCCGTGCACCACCCACCAGTTTTTGTGATACCCAGGAGATCTGGTTACCAGATTGTCAGCAGATGT